TATCCATCTGCTGCCGCCCCTACTTCTGCCCATAATAGCCCCCAGAAAACTATGGCTTCTTCTCCTCCCCTGCCTCTCATTAGTGGGGTCCAAGCAGAGCATGTTCTCCTGTGGAAAAAGACAAGCACCCAGAAAGGCAGATGCTATACTGAGTATCTAAACATGACATGTGAGATAGGATGTGAGAAAGACTTTGGGAAAAATACAGAAAAGGAAGGAAAAGACTCAGTTCCTATTCTCCAGAAAGCATCATTCATTCAACAAACTTTGAGAGAGACCCTATTATCTGTTCACATCGGAAACCCTAGGAAAGTGGAACATGATGTGGACTCATAGACATGTAGCCAAGGGATAAAAATCTGCATAGGAATGATACATACAAGATAGAGATTACTAATGGGAAGGAGGGAACACAGCTACAGCTTGCAGGTAATATTTTTAAGCTGGATGGAGTATAACACATTTGTGTTTTTTATTTTTACTTCTGTTTTCCTCTGGCTGAAATATTTCATAATTTAAAAATAAGTTTTAAATAAGTTTTAAGAACTAGGCAGGGCTCTGTCCTTGGGGAGCTTACATTTTTAAAAAAATTAAAGTATCATTGATACACAATCTTATGATGGTTTCATATACACAGCACAGTGGTTCAACATTTACCCATATTTTCAAGTCCTCACCCCCTCCACTGCGGTCACTGTACATCAACGTAGTAAGATGTTATAGAACCATTAACTGTATTCTCCATGCTGTACTACCAACCCCATGTCCTACCTATATTGTGATTGGGAATTATAGTGCCTCTTAGTCCCCTTCTCTCACCCCACCTATCCTTCCCAGACCCTTCCCTTTGGTAACCAGTGGTCCCCTCTCATTGTCTATGAGTCTGCTGCTATTTTGTTCCTTCAGTTTTGCTTTGTTTTTATACTCCACAAATAAGTGAAATCATTTGATACTTGTCTTTCTCTGCCTGGCTCACTTCACTGAGCATAATACCCTCTAGATCCATCCATGTTGTTGCAAATGGGAGGATTTCTTTTCTTTTTATGGCTGAATAGTATTCCATTGTGTACATGTACCACATCTTCTTTTTTTTTAATTTTTATTTTGGTATCATTAATCTACAATTACAGAAAGAACATTATGTTTACTAGGTTCCCCCCTTCACCAAGTCCCCCCCACATACCCCTTCACAGTCACTGTCCATCTGCATAGTAAGATGCTATAAAATCAATACTTGTCTTCTCTGTGTTGCACAGCCCTCCCTGTGTCCCCCACGCACTATACATGCTAATCGTAATGCCCTCTTTCTTTTTCTCCGCCCTTATCCCTCCCTTTCCACCCATCGTCCCCAGTCCCTCTCCCTTTGGTAACTATTAGTCCATTCTTGGGTTCTGTACCACATCTTCTTTATCCATTCATCTACTGATGGACACTTAGGTTGCTTCCACTATCTTGGCTATTGTAAATAGTGCTGCAATAAACATAGGGGTGCATATGCCTTTTTGAATCGGGGACCTCGTTTTCTTTGGGTAAATTCCTAGAGTGGAATTACTAGGTCAAATGGTATTTCTATTTTTAGTGTTTTGAGGAACCTTCATATTGCTTTCCACAACAGTTGAACCAATTAATATTCCCACCAACAGCATAGGAAGGTTCTTGGGGAGCTTACATTTTAATGGGAGAGGTATCTCTCTTTCTCTTTTACACATACACACGCACACATATGAAATGGACTGAGAATGTCAAAAACGGATACAGGGCTGAGCTACTTTCTTGAGTAGAAAAGCTTCCTGGGAACCAGTCTCTGAGGAGTTAAGCAACTAGATCACGAAGAGAAATTATATGTGAACTCTGCAGCAAGAGATGAATTAGTTTTGGTATAGACTTTCATTTTTAATCAAGGTGAGCATATTTAAAGTCTTCCTTGCTTTGGGTGGGAAAACAGAATAAGGCTAAAGCCCCACCTCATGTTGACTTTATGTGATGCTGCATGCAACAGAACATTCTACAGAACAAAAACGTAAGTGTCGAGGGTGAAAGACAAGAGGTAGAGGACAGGTGTTTTGAGACAGGCCTTGGTGGGCAGGAAACTGGAAAAGAGATAGAGGGTTTAAGCACAGCAAAAAGAAAGGTAAAGAAAAGGAGGGGGAAAGAAGGCAAGCACTCAAAACTCACTGTGGTTAAGACTATATCTTAGGTGTCTTAGGAAGTTAAAAAATAATAACACATGTTCCCTAATCTCAAGGACCATGAAGAAAAATTGCCCAAAGGCTCAGGTTGTCTAGGAAGATACTAAGTGTGCTGTGTGCTTTACACAGCTTGTTTAATTACACACTAACCCTATGAAGGGAAGGCTTCTAAACCCGTATTTCAGGTGAGGAAACAGGCACAGAGCAGTTCTTTAACTTGCTCCCCTCCAGAAAGAAGCAGAGCAGGAGTTGATGTGAATGCCATTCTTAACTGCTGCCCCCTCCAGGCCAGAAAGACTGCAGTGGACAATGGACCTGATGGCCCCTGCAAAAATTTGTCTCTAGAAGGTAGCAGCTGAATTTACTCATTCCTCAGCCCCCTCCCCAGGTCTCACGGGTATAAATCCCAACTCTATACTATTTTTTAAATTGTATTTCCTTCCTCTCCTGCGCTCCTTAATCCCCTTTTCTCTCTCATTCCTGTCCCAAACCCTGCAATCCACCCATACCAGATAGTGAGCTATGCTTTCCATTTTCTAAACTGTCTTCTTTCTTTGGGTGTATGTTTGGAGGAACTGGAATAGATAATCCCTAAAGAGACTTCTCAGACTGCAGTTTTTCCCTATCTGACATTGAGTTGCTTTGTCTGTTCTCATTAGAATGCAATCCCTGTGAGAATTAGAACCTCATCTTTCTTGTGTTTTGCCATATGCCCAGCACCTAGAATGGTATTACCACATAGCAGGCACTCAATAAATATTTGATAAATTAGTAAAAGATAAAAATCCCTGAAATCTGGGGCCAGTATGATTCAAACTTCTATATAACTTTCCCCAGTTGCCTAATGGACGGCATTGGTACCGTATGCACTCTTAAAATATGATTCGTGATGATGAAGCATAGATAACAAATCTACCTTGAAAATTTCAGAGAAACAAAGGGACAGAAAAGACCTTCATGTGTGCTTTCATTTTCATGATTTCTGATAAAAATTCTGATGAATCTAACAGTTATACTAACTGCAAACCCTTAAATATGGGTATTTTTTTCTAGGTTTGTGTCCAAACCTTTGAACCAGTCAGTGGCTGACAAGTCGCAGAGGCAAAGCGTTCCCCAGCCCCCAGCCTGTCACGGCGCCCTCCCTTCCCCTTCGGCCCTGTAAACTACAGAAGCACTAAGTATTTAATTGTTTTGAGAATTCTTCTCTTCCATCAAGAAACAAGTGTCAATAATTCCATGCCCTGAAGAATTTTCCGGGGTTTGAGAGTCTGTATTATGAAACACTTTCAACAAGTGGGTTATAGGCACTTTTCTATCGACTCCGTAGAACTCTAATAGGTTGTGTAATGTCTCACGAAGGGCCTGGATGCTCACACCCACATCTCCAGTCTAAAAACTAGGTTATGAGTAAAATAAAAACACTGCAAAAAAAAAAAAAAGATCCTCTTGCTTCTTCTAAAGCCCTCAGCTCAATTCATATCGCACAGGCATGGAAATCCAGATCACGTAAAGAGGTCAAGAACCTAAGTAATTATTCAGCCAGTAATGAACAGTAACAGACCCTCCCATTGAAATTGTGGAAATCCTCATTTCCACACTAAAGTCAAGAGAACACAGCCATGACGTCAGCAGGCTAGAAGACTGAAAGGGTGCTTTCCTTATTTACCTGATAGCGCTCGCCCTACTTCATTCAGGACAAAGCAAGCCTGCCACACCTCGGGTTCAGGGAATTTTAGGGTGGAGGAGGGGTAAGATGGAATGGAGAGGCTTTATCTAGTCAAACTAAACATAGTCTGGGAAAGTGCCCAAGTGAAAACAATTGAATACCAAATCATTTTCCCACAAGGCTGGCAGAGCTCTCGATACACTGTTAACTTCAACCACTCTACAAACTCCATAAAGACATCTTTAAGGCCCCACTTTTTTTCCTCCCTCTGGGGAAATGTCTTCACTCCAAGAGGTAAGCCGGAGAAGATACCGTTATCTTCAAAGCACAACAGAAAGCTCCTAGTCCCCCCATAGTGAAATTCCTGTGTTCCACCCTAACCGAGTTTAGGAAACTGATAAGACAGCTGTGAAAATAGAGAGTAAAACGTTCTCTCCCATTCAAGTCAGCTGGCACAGTCTGCACTTTTTTAAAAGAGGCCAGAAGGTTGTCATTTTCCATTTTTTTAAAAAATGGTTACGGACCAAAACAGAGCTAAGCAATCACACTCCCATTGCAGAGTGAATTTGTCTATGCACTAGCTCCTGTGTATGTATGCATTCATTTAAAACTTTGTATCATCAGTATTTTAAAATAGCCACAAAAGTAGAATTCAGCGAACCCCGTGTACTCAATACCCAGCCTCAATGATTATCCACATACATACATTCCTTTCTAGTGTTCTTAAAAAACAAAATTTTGCTGGGAGAATGTGCCTATGTGTCATATAGGCTATAACATTTCATTTGTTATGACATATAATAACCTCTTTATTATATAAAGTTTTTGGGCGAAAGAGTAGAACTTCACAAATTCTGACTAACCTGCTACAATTCTGTCCAAACTGTTGAAAAAGCTGCATTATACAATTATTTAAAAGGCAGTTTTATCACTTCCAAATTAAAGAGTACCACAAAAGCATTGCCAAGGAGAAGTCCTATCAGTTTCTCTTTCATGAACACACACACAAATGGTAACTGTTAAATCATTGATTATCTTTGCATGTAAATAGATGCTTCTTAAGTAATGAAAGATGTATTAGCTCAGGCTGCCATAACAAAACACCATAGACGGTGTGGCTTAAATGACAGAAATTATTTTCTCACAGTTTTGGAGACTGTAAGTCCAAAATCAGGGTGCCAGCCTAGCTGGGTTCCGGTGACAGCTCCCTTCCTGCCCTGGAGATAGCCACTTCTTGCTGAGTCCTGGAAAGGCAGAGAAAGAGCACGAGCAGCTCACTACTACCCCTTCTTACAAGGGCCTTAATCCCATCATGAGGGCCCCCACCCTCATGATCTCTGCTACCCTTATCACCTCCCAAAGGCCCTACCTCCAAATACCATCACATGGGGGGCTGGGGCTTCAACATACGAATTTGGGGAGGACACCACTCAGTCCACAGCAAAAGACATGCTTTTTTCCTTCAGGTTTAACATCCTCTTGTCTTGACAAATCACAATTATGTAGACAATTTTATTTGCCTAGCAAACCCTTTTTATTCATTAGTGCAAATGCAAACTTCAGGCAAGTCCATAACAAAAGTCACAAATTCCATATTAGGAAAATTTTACTGAATACGTTGTCTAGCATATGGAGTAACTATCCAGTCAGTACCTGCCCGACTGCTACTCTTCTCTCTGGGGAAACATTTTTCCCTAAACTAACTGATAAGGGACAAGAAGTGACAATGGGTAGGCAGGCTGAGTCTGCTCCTGGACCCGAGGGAGGAGCCGGCTGGGAAGGGTACAGCGGCTTTCACAACCAACAGGCTAGTTTAGGATTTAGAGAGCTAATTATCAAAGCTTACCTAATAATACTCAATATAAAAGCTAAGCTCTTCTAAAAGTAACCTGGATTGTAACCTCACTTGTGTTTTACTAAAGATCAGTAATTTTTTTATTGACAAAAATTAGGATGCTTACCAAGAGACCTGGAAAAAATCCAGGCCCCCAAAATTCTTCTTGAATTTTCAAGTTGGTAATTCATTATTCTGCTCCTGTCCCGTGGATGCCCAGCTGTTGGTGGCTGAATTCTCCTGCAAAGGCGACCTGGCGGGAGAAGTAAAGTCGTGATCGCAAAGCACTGCTGAGAGCTAGCTGGGGATGCGAAGAGCACCGGTTCTCGCCATAAGGACTCTCGGATGAGAGGCAAGTGCTCTGGGAACTCGAGCCAAACCTTGCGGTCTAGGAGCAGAAATGAAAAAGTACTTTGTGAACGATATTTGAGTTGCCAACACCTTGAGATTAACTTAAGAATGGTCTGTAACTGCACAGAGAAGACAAGTAATGACTCTATAGCATCTTACTACACTAACTGACAGTGACTGCAATGGGTGGGGGGTGGGGAAGGGGGTAAGGACTTGATAATATGGGTGACTGTTGAAACCACAATGCTATTTATGTGAAACCTTCATAAGATTGTGTATCAATGATATTTCAATTAAAAAAAAAAAAGGTCTGTAACTGACCACACTGAAATTTTGTCTTGATAGTTTCGTTGGAGGTTGGAAATAAATATTGGAAAATCAGAACGCTTAGGTTGAGAAGTAGCAACCCATTAAATGGAATGCAGCTTATTATTACATATATCCTTATTATTCCTAGTATACTGTATTACTGCTAGGGAGGCTAAGAATATGCGTTTGGGAGTTCAGGAAGTTCTGAGTTCAAATCCTATCTCCAGCTTTTAGTAACTATGTGACCTCGGGGTAATTTCAAAGCCTCCTAATTTTGTTCTTTTGCTTGTGTTTTTTAAATCTGTAAGATAGAGCTAATACTACCTACCTTCACTTATATGGTTGTAAAGAATAAATGATATATGTAAACAGCTTGGTAGAGTGTCTGGTATACAGTAAGAACAAAATGAATGTGACTACTATTATTAGCTTGTCATAACTGCACAATTATAATTAACTAGAGTTGCAAAATCTGAGTAAAAGATTGCTTTACTACTTATCTCAATAGTCAGAAACACCTTCTCAAGGGGAGGCAGATTTTCAAAACTCTTCTCAGTGTTAGTTTGCATGTCTTTGGGGGTATTTTTAAAGGTAGGAAAGCAGTTTTTTGGTACTTAATAGTATCCTTCTTGTTCATACGGTTGTGGTAGCTTATTTGCCACTTACGAGAAGCTGTGTTTTCTTTAAGTCTCACTTTGCAGGAAATAGTGGGAATATTTACCAAGCATTTTTCAGAAATAAGAGGTAAGAAATTCAGCCAAGGTTCTGGGAATACATACACAGTGCCACAGCATAAATAAGGGGTCTCAGTGTAATATACAACACTACTAAAAATAATCGTTTACTCCCCCAGTGGTACAGAAGTTGCCTAGGTTTCTCTGACTATTGGAATCGCAGTGAAAAGAGGAGCTAGCACTGCCTGCAGCCCTGGGGTGTAGCCAGTGAGATGGCCCAGCCCAGATATGCCCCCATTTCTCATTTATGGCGAGGAAATCAGACTTTGCCTCCATGAGTATGACTCCATCTGCAGATTTCAAGGGGAAAGCTGGGGGCTGAAGTGGGGTGACTAAGTGAGAAGACATGAAGTCTTTGAGTAAAACGTGGTGAAGTGGTAATATGAAAATGACGCTCTTGAGTCCTATTTCCCATCAGTGAAGTGCCTGAGAATAGTTGATCTGATTAAGACAGAGAAAAAATATTCATGTGTCAGAAAATGAGGAGTGTTAAGTTTTGCTCTGTGGTCTTCTTGCTCACTACAAACATTTTCCATGTATTGAGAGCTATGAAGGGGAGGTGGAAGATTCTGTATTTATGAATAGTGTAAATCAATTCTCAAACAGGGGGGTGATTAGAAAATTGTGGAGTGAAATGCTTTGTCAGTGTGAACCTTCCAGCTGCCACAATTGGTATCATAATATATCCCTGGGTAGATATATACTGGTAGAATACACATCCTGGCACCAGAAGTGCTCTAGTTAATCTGGATTTGATAGGATGCTGACAATTACGCAAGCTCAGTGGACCTGGGCCTACGGGGTTAACAGGTCATGTGATTAAGCCCTTCATCCTAATGGCTTTCACTGTGTTCCTCAATGGTAGATAATGTAACACCACCTTCTAAAGAAGAATGAAAATTCTCCACTGATCCTTACATTTATTAAATTATCTTTAACATAACGTTATTTTCAAATGTACAAAAATAAAACTAGGTGCAAACTCCTAATATTTATAGTTCTTATAAACTAAAGACTTTTTTTTTTCAGGTTAAGTTTAAACAAAACTCCAGAGCCAATGATATTTAAGTTGACAATACTAATTTAATGAGATGGATGATGTTATTTTGATGAAACTATATAACTGATTACAAAGTAAACACGGTACTGATTGCCAAAGGGCAGGTTCTTTTGATTTTGGTGCATTTATAATGCAATTTTTCTTTATTTGAACTATTAGATTACCTTCATTAATATAGCAGTAATGCATCCTTCACAGAATAAGGCTAACTATTCTTTTCTCCAACTGCAGTTGGAGAATGCTACAGTGAACCAATCTCATCACAAACACAGTGAACATGAGCAAAATCATGAGGCAGTATTCAGTTATAAAGTGGTCATTTTATTCTTAATGAAAATGTTCTGTGTCTGCACTGTCCAATGTGGTAGCCCCGAGTCACATGTGGTTATTGAGCACTAAAAGGGGACTAGTGTAACCCAGGAACAGAATTTTAAATTAATTTTCATTTGAATAACCACATGTGTCTAGTGGCTACTGGTTGGTCAGTGCAAAATCCCAATTCATGCATTTACTATGGGTTTTTAGAATATCATTAAAATGAAATCACTAGCTGTATGAGGAGGGCAATGTATTTAACCTCTCTAAACCTCACTGCCTTCATCTGTAAATAGGGGATAATGAAATGTAACACATTCAATCACTTAGTGCAAAGCCAGGAACAGAAACAAAACTCAACTCCTAGGGATGCGCATGGGTGATTGGCTGGGAGGAGGGTTTCTGCATCACTACCCCTTCTAGCTCCCCCCCACCCAGCTGTGCTTATTCTTTGAAATATGCAATTGACATTGTCTCCATTTTATATAAAGTGCCCAGTTAAAGGCATCTTTAGACAACATTGCTATTTTTATCAGACAAATTAAGTTAGAACAATGTGTAGCTTTGATTAGTCATCCACCTTCCAATTAGATTGTCTTCCTGAGTCCCTCCTGTATTGAAATTCTGGAGTTGCCAGAATTCTTGAATAACTGTCACAGAAGCATCAAATAGCCATGGTGTTTAGACCTCATTTTTATTTCTCTGGGAAACAGGAAGCCTAAACCCCTTTTAGGTTGTAGTGGAACATTATGAAATTGTCACACTAGTTACTGTCTCAGTTGCTGCTCCTGTTGGGGATGCTTTCCCATTTCCCACCCTACACCCCATTTTCACCTGGCAAACACTTGGTATCATTTTTCAGAATCTGCTCAAGCTTCACTCTTCTATAGAACCTTTCCTGACTCTCCCAGGTAAAACTTCCCTCCTCCATCCTTGCTCTCAACCCTGTACTTTACAGACTTTCAGCATAGCAACCATAAGTTTTCACATTTATTTTACATTTATTCTTGTCTTATGTTATGGACTGAATCGTGTCCCCCAAAAAAGATATACCAAAGTCCTAAATCCCAGAATGTGACCTCATTTGGAAACAGGGTCTTTGTAGATATAGTTAGTTAAGTGGAGATGAAATCACAATGAATAGGGTGGGGCCCTGAATCTATTATGACTGGTGTCCTTATAAGAAAAGGAAAAGAGACAGAGACAAAGACACACAAGAGGAGAAGGTCACGTGACGAGAGGCAGAGGTTGAAGAGCTGCTGCTAAAAGCAAAGGAATGCCCAGGATTGCAGGCAAATCACTGAAGCTAGGCAGAGGCAAGGAAAGGTTCTCCCCTAGAGGCTTCAGAGGGAGCACGGCCCTGCTGACACCTTGATTTCAGGTTTCTAGCCTCCAGAACTGAGACAATAAATTTCTGTTTTTTTAAGCCACTTGGTTTGTGGTACTTAGTTAGGGAAGCCCTAGGAAACTAACACACCTTACTAAACCATCAGCTCCTTGAGGACCAGGAGGACACAGACCTTGACTGATTTACTGATGTGTCCTTGGCAGACGTCACAGTGTCTGAATCAATGTTGGACGGACATATGAACACACTACCTGCTGCTTTGCCTTAATCTGGTCTCAAATCGAAACTGCCGAAAAATCATTTTACATCCGTTTGGCACTGCTGCATACGGCCACACAGGCTAGGCACTTTCCAGAGTTGTGTGAAGTGTGAGCTTCAATTATTTATTATCGCATAATTTCATCTACATAAGGGAAGTCAGTAGAATTTCCCATGCCATCTGTTAGAAAAATCACTACTATTGTCAGCTTCGGCTCTTGCCCTTGCCAAACAGCAGAAACCATAAATATCCTCTAGATCAAGGATTATAAACCTAATCATGTTTATAAATATAAACTACAGCCTTGGGCCAAACTCCAGCCTGCTGCCTGCTTTTGTAAATAAAGTTTTACTGGAACACAGCCACACCCATTGATTTACATACTGTCTATGGCTGCTTTAGCCCCACAATGAAGAGTTTAATGGTTGTGATGGATGGTGGTTGTGATATAGCCCACAAAGCCTAGAATAGCTACTATCTGACTCCTTACAGAAAAAGTCTGTGAAGCCCTATTCTAGATAATATAAATTGATAGACATTACCAGAATGTTTTATAGTAAGTGGTAAAATCCCACCTTGAAACTGAAACCATTCATTTTATCACACTTTGGAAGATTCTACATGACTACTGTTAACGTCGGCATGCCAGGAAGAAAATTATGTGTAGAAAACAATTTATTTTTTTCTCAAGATGGGAGCCAGGGGTTTAAAAAAAAAAAGTGTATGAGCTTATTTGTGTGCATATGTGAGTACAGGGTGTGGGTGGAGTAAATTCCAAGCAAATAACATATGTAACTTACACAATTAGGTGCTGTAAACAGGGACTTTTTTGAACTGTGTCCAGCTCCCCAAATTGGAGTGAAGTGAGAAATGGAGAAATGAATGGAGATCTATTATGAAGTTCAGGAGGAGAACTGCTATTCCCATGTTTATGAGAAAAGTCCTGCCTGCAGTTTTATGCCTTCTGGAAAGTATTGTGGAAAAAGCTTAGACCTTTCCGAGAGGTTCCTTATGCATCATGTCACGCCTGCCATGTGACC